TGTGGGACAACTTAACACTTTGAAAAGGGTTACATTTGACTGAGACGGAAGGAAAATACATGCCTTTTTAACCAAATATAGTCTAAATATATCTGTTGTGTGTATTTATCCAGAGTTTTTTTGTTTGTTGAAGAAATAGAATTTTGCATAGGTGAACAGAGGTAAAACCCACTCTTATTTTTTATCTGATATGCGTATATTCTCTGTATTGTAAAACAAAGCAAAAAACATATTCAAGAGACTGCAAATAGATGTATTGTATTTACATGGGTGTGGGAACTATAAGAGGAACTGACACTTTTAAAATATTCACTTCAATATACAAGTTGTAGGAAAAGAAGCAACTGCTGCAACAACACTGTTTTGTAAATTATAAATATGTTATTCACGTATTGGTAGGGACAAGTAGGTCTGGCCAAAATTTTGGTAGGGACATGTCCCTATGGTCCCTATGGAAACCTACGCTCCCATGAAGAAAACAGGAACCAGATTGAGGGGGTTCTAGCTACATAGAAGTCATATTTACCCTCCATATTGTCTCCAGTCAGTCTGGATGGAGACCTGAATCCATAACACATTCTCAATTGGAGCTTTGATCTCAGTCATTCCATTGTAGCTGTTTGTCACCAACGTCCAGCTGAAAAGATGAAACTCTACTCCAGTTTCATGCCTTTTGCAGCCTGGTCCAGGTTTCCTTCAATGACTGCCCTCCTCCGTTCATGTTCAACTCTGACCAGACCATGCCCGTTTGACAAACACGCAGCGGCTTTCTCTCAGCAAACATTACATTGTAAACATGATGTTTCTATAATTTCTTTAATGATTATGTTGCCAAGGTGTATAATTACTGTAGGTCATGGTTTACTGAATTTATAAAGTTAGGTGAACAACTAAAATCTGGAATAGATAAGCAGGCGCTCTTGCATTTAAAACCAGCTTTGTTTTGTGTGTGCAAGGTGTGTGAGGATGGCTGGCCAGGGTTTGTTTAAATTTTAAACCCAGATTAAGGAACCCTGTCCACCGTCCTTCCTCGCCTCCCCTCCCCCTATTTATTTTTCCATCTCTCCTGCCTAAATGATGTCAATGGAAACAGTGCTATAGGCCTATTTATAGATCCCCAACTCACACACAAAATGTGTGCAACACGACTACAGCACATACACATAGCCCGTGCATGGTGTTATGTGTTTGTTCTGGTCATTGCTCGTGCAGCCGTGCTTCCCTGAGAAGGAGGAGGGGAATGAATAGGAGAGAAAAAGCCATTGAAAGAGACAGGGGGGGAAAACGTGCGCCCCCTGCGTTCCGCTTCTTCTGCTGCAGCCGCTGATTTTCATTCACTCACTTCAAGCAGTCATTCATTCATTCCTTTCTTCCCAACTCACTCATTCACACAGTTTGTGCGGCTCGACCTGTGAATGAAAGACTGGGAAACGCTGGTTGAAAGCAGGAAAGCCACCAGTTCAGCTGAATGGCCGCACGCTCTCTGTGGCCACAGGCTGCTTTGCTTTTGCTCAATAGGGTGCAGTTGGAAATCAGCAATTTAGGTGCTTGCGCGTGCGTGAACACGCGCGTTCGTGCGCATGTGTGTGTGTGTGTGGGGGGGGGGTGCATGCATATAGTTAAACGTGGCAAATCTCGCGGGACAACACGGTACACAGTGTTCTTTGGGTGCAGGGTCCGTGTGAATAGACTCTTTCCAAGACTCGTACTGTTGACATCCACATGCAAGATTACGTAAAGTGGTGGTGGTGGGGAGGAGGGGGGTCTGGGTGGTTGAACGTGTGCCTTCATGTGCATGTTTAAAGGCTCCCTCCTTTGCAAATAAAACCCACGGTTTTGCTGCACAAGCGTCTTTGGCTTAAAAGAGACTCGTGAGTGTCTTTTTTTTAGACTACTTTCTATTTTGGAAAAGGCAGCGGTGATAAAAATAAAACTGCTCCATCACCCCTCCCATCCCTGAAACCTATCATCCACCCCCAGCCACTGTTAGACTCCAACCCGCCTTCCATCAACCTAATCTTATAAATGCCTAAAGAGACAAAAACGATGATGGTGTATGATATTCATGTCAGTCGTGATTTTATGAGCCCATAACAGTCTGTTGATATCAGCTCATCTCCAGTGGTGGAGAAACTGCAATTCCAGTGTGTCTTCATGTAGTTTTGCTTTATATCTATCGATTTCATTTATTAATTTTTTTTATTGTTTTTTACCCTTGTGCGAAATATGGAATGAAACTGTATCTTTAGGTTTATTGTTAAAGCAACCCTGGTTCGGGTGCATTGGGTTGACGGTTCGGCAGCATGGAGGGAAGCTGTTTGGTATTTATAGCCCCACTCTGTACATCCACGGCGGTCACACGTGCAGCAGCCGCTTCCCTGCACTCCTGCTGAAGTTGACATGTTAACACTCACTGGCTGCTATATTTAGCCCAGCCTCACAGTGCTGTTACTATTCCCAGCATTGTACATGAGGGGGCGAACGACAGGGGCTGGGTTTTTTTTCTTTCTTTCTTTTTCTTTTTTTGTTTGTTTGTTTTTCGAAAAGGGAAGAAAAAGTTCCCTTTTTCTTACAACTAATCTATTTTTGCACGTACATTCCGACCTGTGATCCGCCACTGGCACCAAGGTAGTTCAGGGATGCCGCAGTTAAAAGCTGTCACGAAATCGTGAGGACGCAAAAGCAGGAGGGTTGAGAGGAGCTGTAGATGGAGGGACATGCGACCAGATTGTCCACACGACTGTGTTGTCTGAAAAAGTAGAAGATATAAACCGGCTTGAAATCATAATCAGATCCTATTGAATTCAGGCCTGTTCACTTTTGAATATGATTCCTTTAATTTTATTTAAAAGGATGTGGTTTTATAAAACAATCGCTTCCTTTTTTCACTCAAAAGATGCATTTAAAGTTGTTTTTTTGAGTCGCACCTGTACGATTTCAGATAGGAGAGGTTTCAGCACCTCGGACAGCTCCATGGTGACCAATGCGCCCCAGCCTGCCAATAATAAATGCAGCAATGATCCAAAGCAGCATCGACTGTAGTTCTCATATAATCCTCGACCATTTAGAGGGCTCCTTCTTTTTTTGTTGGCACGACTAGGGGTGGGGGTGCAGGGAATGCCACTCATACCAATGATTAGAATGGACGAGGTGTAATATATATATATATATTTAATCATTTATTTTCTCTGGAAGTATACATATGTTCAATTGGAAATCCATGTGGTGACTATGAAAATCAGTAACAGGCTTATCACGCCACACCAGGGGCCCCCTTTATGTATATGGTCCATCCAGCATCATTGGAGACAACCAGTGGAGCTCTCCTCTAAAGTAGATGTGCAATATATCATTCTCTTGCTCCTGCTGCGTGTCTGTTTGGTTACAGTATTAAGTCATAGTTTTATCTCCATTTACATCCCTTGGAAGGTCGTTAATAAAGTAAGGAAACCCGTCGAGTTCCACCAAGTGCTTCAGGATATTGATTTACCTTCACTTCCTCTCTCAGATGGGCTGGATCAGGGGCTCCTTCCATCTCTCTCTCACTGAGGGTCGTCTTCTCTCTCCTCTGCTCCTGCAGCTGCCGCCCACTCCTCCTCCTCCACCGCTTGATTATTTTCAGCTCAGTGCTTGTGTTTATGTGCGTGCTCACCAATGCACGTGCCAGAGAGTTTGCTGGCTGACTGACTGGCAGGCTGGTTTGGGAAATACCTGGTCACGATCTACTAGGAAGGGGTTTTGTCTCAACAGCGTGGCTCCCCCTACCGACCAAAACTGAAACAGCTGTTCAGCGTCAGAATGTAAAAAAAATAAATACAAAAAATATATATCAGCCAATAACGAAGGGAACATTTTAACTACTTTAGATGAATACCAAGAAAGGAATGCGCATACAGTCATAAGAACAAATCAGGCCTCTATATATGTATGTAAAATGGTTTTATAGACACTAATGCATTCCATAATTGGCATGCAGCGAAATTGGTTACGTTTATAAAAAGAAAAGAGTAAACGACAAAACCTCTAATTTTTTTTTTTTATTATTCAGAATGAAAAGTTTAAACACACCAGATTTCTCTTCGCACCCAAACCGTAATAGAAAGACACGAAAATACATCATAGTCACTTTAAATTCAGGTTTAAAAATAGATCAGGATGATTTGAGAGGAAAGCCCTAGTCTGGAGCGCCCTCTGGAGGGGACTCTCTGTTCTTACACTAAATGTTAAATGTGCCAACAGCAAATAAGAGACCTCTTTTTTTTTTTTTTAGGATATATTGTAACTTTTATGCACCGATACGTTTTAATACGTAAATGCCTAAAAGATTTAAGGCCTCACTGTGCATCAACTTCAATAACAAATCCTATTAATAGCAACAGCAGACTGCTTTCCCCACATGAAGCTCGGAGTTAAAAGACTTGCCTCTCTGCAGAAGGCTGCCAGAGCAGATTTAATAAAAAAAAAAAAAAAAAGGAGCTGGAGCCCCCCTCCTCCCACCCAACCCAACACACGTGTCTCTGCATGAAGACCTGTTGCACACTAACAGCTTTCTCTGCCACCTGCCAGGTTTCAGTCTGTTAGACTTCCAGCTGTTTTCCCACCTTCGTTTTACCATTACTCTTTAAAGAAACCCAGTATTTCATTTATTTTTTTCCACAAAGAAATGTACGGCAAAAAAAGTACAACTGGATAGGATATATTTCCTGATGACCTCCAGAAAATACTGGATTCTGGAATGGGTGGATTGGCTAAAGCGCTCTGAGATCCATCATCTTCCATTTTTACTTCATTTTTGAATCCAAATGGTTTCTGTGATCCTTCCAACGTACAAAATGACTACATTCTGTATTCTGCTCAAATAATGACATGGTTAGTTACTGGAGTGGCATCAACCAGACCATATTAATGAATCAACTTAATTTAAATGGTTGATCTTTAAAAAATAAATAAAATCAAGCTTTCTATGCTGCGCTGGATTTTTTCCACAAGTAAACAACCCATTTAGATGGAGGAAATTTAATCAACACAACCAAATAAAGGAAAAAAAATGTTTACAAACCAGATGTCAGCAAAAGCATTTCTGCCTCAAAGCTCATTTCTCAGAGGGAAAGTCAGATTAATAAATTTACAATAAAACAAATCATATTCTATTGGTAACAACCTGTAGGACATATACGGAGAATTTAAGTAGATTACAGAAACTTGGCTGGTGGAGTTAAGACTGCAAACTTAGGTCAGTTTGGTAATTTTATGATTAAAATAAAAAAAGTATATCAAATTTAACTGAAAAAAGTTCAGATCCAAATATTTGTTGTGGTTTTTAATATTAATATTGACTTCTAATATTAAGAACAAAAAAGAATCTCATTAATTTCAGACAGCAGGGGGCTCCAAAAGAAGATTGTAAAATAATATTTATGAACACGTTGGGACCTCTTTTAAGGTTATTAATGCTTCGAACACAGATGCTATAGTCAGAAAAGATGGCATGTTTTTGAGCATTTTGCAACTGGATGCTATATTGTGAGCCAAAAATAATTTTGGGGAACAAACTTTAAGAGAAAATCGAAATATAGGGTAAATCAAGTAGTATACTTTAGAGTGATATGATTTCAATAGCCTTGGTCCTGAAAATAGCTTTTTCTTTCCCCAAATACGAGTAAGGGACAAATATTGTACTTCCATCTAGTTTTATGATAAAAATTTAATGAAAGGGCATCATTGATTTATACAAAGAAGCAGTCAGCCAATTCTAATTAAGCTCTGCTAAAAAAAAAAAAAAAAAAAAAAATGGTTAAATAAGAGAAAATTGAAATGGATTTTTCCACAAACATGCTGCTAAACAAGAGGAACTTCCACAACTATGTGACCAAAATATTTAGTTACAACTTGGCAGTCTTTTGTTCCACAAAAAACACACAAGGTTTAAAATTTTCTGAAAAACAAAAATAAAAAGAGGGAAGGGAAAATCCACACATCTAGATTACGGATTACCTTGGCTGAGAGAAATACAGCTACTCATGTGTTCATGACAAGAGGAGTTGGAGCCAGAAGAAGAAAGCAACTAAGACCCACAGATGAAAGGCAATAAGAGTAAAAACAAAAAAACTTAATTGTAAAAAAATTAAAGGAAAAATATATATAGGTAAATGACAAATAGTCCATTCTGATGAGGAGATCCTGATGTGATGCAGTTCTGACAAAGAAATGTAGATTTCTGTCTCTCAGTAGATTCGGCCTCGGCTCCTGTTGCCTCTCATCCCCCAGCCTCGTCCTCTGCCGCCTCTGAAGCCACCGCGCTGCTCTGCATCGACATGGCATAAGAAAACTCAGCAAACGTGCAACAGAGGAGGCTGAACATGAGTCTAGAAAAAAGTCCAATAAATGTTCTGCACTGTTTGACATATTTACATCCTCTGAAAACACCATAGAGCAACGGTGGGCAATTCCAGTTCCTGGGGGCCGGTATCCTTCAACTTTTAGATGTGCCTTTGGCTAATTAGTTGATTGACAGGACTTGTGAGAAACTGACTGCAGACTGAGGAGGTAACTCAGCCATTTGCTTCAGGTGTGTTTGATAAAGGAAGGATGTAAAACCTTCAGGATACCGGCCCTCAGGAGCTGGAATTGCCCACCCCTGCCATAGAGAAACAGTCAATATGAACATTTGCTGGTACAGTAGAAGCCATTCAAAATTTCCCCACTGTCCCCGGCTGGTCTTTGACTGGTCCTTGGTTGGTCCCCTACAATTCCTTTTTAAACATCAATCTTTTTACTATAATATTCTGTCATGATTTGTGAACTTTAACATCTAAAGAGATGCGCCATCTCCTGGTCAGACCCTGTAATTCAGTGAAAGGGTGGAGTCAGTAACAAAATATGCACTCCAGTGGCTGGAAGTTGGAGGGGATTTTGCAGGGAGTTGGAGGGAAGTGGGCTGCTATTCGGCTGGCGTTTGACTGGGAAAAGACATTTTGAATGGCTGCTACAATAGCTTGTTTCTGTACGAGTCGGCCGTGAAATACTGTCTCTATTAATCTCTCTTTGGGGTAGAACTGATTTTTTTCTCATATCATTTTTAAATTAACTGGAAGAAAGAAAAAAAAAACACTGCAGCAGAACACAGACTAATAAGAAGAGTGAACTGGAAAGTGTGGCATGCTTTTGAATTCAGCTCTCCTGATGCAATGATCCAATTCTGCTTCACTAACAGCTCACACTCTTCTGTTATATCTTAACCAGATTTTTACATTTAGATGTTTACTAATTTTGGCCATTTAAAAAAACTGTTTTAATAGCGAGGAGCATCTGAACTTACAAACCCAGATCATTGTAAGACTTTAGCTGTATTCATCTTCACTATTCAAATGTGCAGATTCCCAGTCTTTGCCATCCACTGCATGCTTTTGCCAATGCGGTACAACATGATTGATCGCAGTAAACTACCAACGGATCAAGCTTCTGGTTTCTTCTTGTATATCTTTTATAAAGGCCAGATTTATTTAGTAAACCCTTATTTGGTCTGAGAATCACGTTCAGAAAGTGAAACGTGTTCTTTACATGGTTTGTGACACACTGATAAGTCTTCTGTGACATTTCTCCTCCAGACGGCGGTGCTCATCTTCTCATTGCTCCATTTGTAAAGTTTATTATATAAATGCAGGCCTCACTTAAGATCTTAATTGGTACAAAAAGCTTCAAACAGATACAAGACCATTAGGAAGTGGAATAAAAAAAACGTGAGACTTAATCTTAATAAAATGAGTTAATGGTTACAGCATAAAAACATTTTTTGAACCATTTGAACACAAAATTCATCATATATCCTCAGCATGTTAAACTAAACTTAATGTTTCTTACTCCTTTGTTTTATTCACTGAAATCATTCTGTTTAAAGGGAATTTTCATGTCTTTAAAGTGGATTTGGAAGTCACAGCTGGTGGGGAATTGGACTTTCCAGGTTAGAATTTCCTTTTAGGAGAAACTTTAGTTTCTCTTGTTCTTTAAGCTGAAAGTAAAACAAATATGTGACTCTGAAACTTAAAAAAACACCGGGATAAATCTGACCTTTCACTCTACGGTTCACCTGTATTTCTCTAGTCAGGTTGCAGTAAAACGATGTGGTAAAACTTCCATTGGACCAAGCACATCAATTCTAAACGTTCAAACCAAACCATGAACTAACTGTTCGTACAGTTTAATAAGGATACCCTCATAACGGTATTAAAGCAGAAAGTGTGACAAGTCATAATCCTTCAATTAGTGTTTTTTTTTAACCAAAAAAAAAAAAACGTGCAAAACAACAATAAAAGACATGCACTAAAACCACATTAGGTTTTAAAACAGGAAAAGTGCCACCAGGGTCGCCTCACCGTAGTTAAAATTGCCAATAGAGGCGCTGTACTTGCCGCTGGGAGGGTTGTAAATTTGCCTTGCGTCCCGTCGTGGGAGAGGCATGATCTGTTTTTTTGTGTTGGCCCCAGATCCCATTTCTTCCCCTGATGGACGTTTGGGCCTAAAAACAAGAAGAAAATGAGATGAAAGGAGAATGAGTGTTACATTAACGTCTCTTGACTGTTGAACAATGTCCTCTGTTAATGTGGAGGCTTACGCTGCTGCCTCTGGCTTCTGGACGGGTTTCCAGGACAAGGTTACTGTGCTCTTGTATGAAGGAGGGTTGTGGAAGAGATCCTGAAATGAAAATAAAGAAGTTTTTAATCCAACGAGTCATAAGCAGAACATGCACCAAAGGAACTAGATCCAAGTTTGCATTGAAAAACCAAACGTCCTATTTAAAAATCAGCCTAAAACTTTTTATTTTATTTAAACTCATCCTCAGTGCAGGCTTAAATGACCCGGAGTTATCCCTGGAATTATTAGAGGAAACTGATCCCAATAATTATCAGAAACTTGCTGCACATTCTACCCACTTTACTCAAATTCTACATTCTGAGCCCAAGTATTTATCTTTATTTTGCTTCCTGTCTCCCATCCCAGCCTATTGGGTCAAAGTGTTTGTAAATCTGTTGGGTTTTCCTCTGCAGCCAAATCAACAAACACAGCAAGAAACATTGAATCGGAAAGTTTAGCATAGCTTTGACTAAACAGGACTGTAAATTCATTTATATAATGAATAGCATTTGTTATTTTAGAAGTATTTGCAGTAGCATATTCAAATCAAACTGAATAATTCATCAAGTGGTCAAAATGTCTCAACGTAGGGCTGAAAAAATTAGTCGGATTAATCAATCACTTAAAAATTGTCAACTAACTCAGTAATTGATTAAAAACCTGCCTTTAGCTGATAGAGCGACTCAGTTAGAGCAGGAATTATACCAAAATTGTTTAAAAAAAAAAACATTTTTAGTTTTCAGTTGATTTTAATTTTGTAAAAAAAAAACTTCCTTAAGAAACATTTTGCTATCAAATTATCAATAAAAAAAAACAGAATAATAGATTTCCAAAACAATTGTTAGTTGCAGCCGAATATAAATGAAAGAAGGCATCTTTATTACTATCACCATTATGCCAGTAAAATCTGTCAAAGATGTTTCTGAATCGCTTACCTTAATGAGAACATTGATGTTGTTTGTGATCTTCAGGGCCACCACTTTGATTTTGTTCTAAAATAATCAAAATAACATATCAATCATGAATGTGTTTGTACTGATTTCTTCATTTTGGATCAGCAGCCATCAGGCTGTATAGACGATTACCTCCTCCGTCTTCAGAGCGTCCCCCGTCTTCCCCTGCAGGGCCACTCGCAGCTGTCTGATATAAACCTGCAGACCTCTGGCAAAGTACTGTAACCTGTTGGAAAACAAACAGGACGTCTAAATAAAACAACCACTCCAGCCTCAGTAACGCACAGCCATCCCATTTTGACAGACAGCCTTTGAACTCCAGGGGTTTTCAGGAATGGTGTCCAAACCTCACCGGATCTTGAAGTCTTTGAGGCGCTCTGCATCCACCTTGTCCACCAGAAAGTCGGGCAGCTTCTTGCCCAGCTGGTGGAAGCTGAAGAGGAGACACTCCACGTAGCTGAACTGCAGTTTGGGCTCCTCGCTGGCAGAGTTTTCACCGTTCTCAACCTCTTCAGGTGGCAGCGGCATGAATTCCTAACAAACGGCAACAAAAACACAGTCGGTGTAAAAAAATAAAAAATGTTCCACTAATGTTCCCCCGGAATATTTGATGGTTAATGGAAACGTAGCAACTGATAAACATTTAGAATACTGATTGAATGTGTTATTTAGTAAGTGGCTCTCCTGCTTTCCCCCCCTCTGATCAGGAAATGATTTCCTCTTACATAGGTGGGGGTAAAAGAAGCCATGATGTCCAATAGGGAGCCTTTTATCTGTGTATCCCATGGTTCAATGGAAGAGGACAACTCTTACCACAAGCTTGGTGAACAACGTGCTCAGATTGGCCTCCAGCTTCTCCATATCCCCACAAAAAGGACTCATCTCAGCCAGCAGCTTCAGCACCTAAGAAACACACAACAGCTCTCAGTAAAATGTTTGAGGGGGGCAGATCTGTGCAGATTGTTTTCACTTCCATCTCTGAGCTATACACAAATTAAAACTATTTCCCACATTTGACTTGGACAGATTATGAGAAATAATAATAATAAAAAAAAAAAAAAACTAGTGGTGCATTCTATGCAGCAAAATCCCACTTAAACGAGTGAAAACATAATGAGATCTACGTCTAAAGAAAAGAAAAATGCAGCAATAAACGACGTTGAATTGTTTCTAAGCTGACCAAGGCAGAGAGGTGATTCTCAGAGAGATCTGGGAAGTTTATCCAACTTTTTATTCCTTTGTTTCAAAAAGAGGTGAGAAAAATATGGGAAAATACCATGTTATCTATTTATTTAACCCCAGCCCTTTTAAAATAAATGTTTCTGAAGCTCTGCTCTCGAATCGAAGGTTAGATTAAAAAGACATTTATTTTAGAGCTTTTTTTGCACAGTTTCCAAACATTTTGCCCCGGTCTGTCTGTAGGGTTTTGTGGTATATTATGTTCATTGTTATATTCAGTTGAATTGAATTCAGTTTATTTCTATAGCTCCAATTCACAACACGTCATCTCAAGACAATTCAACCAGATCATCCAGTCAAATTGATACAAAGTTTTCCATCTAAGGAAACCAGTTGATTGCATCGACTCATTGACTCAAAGGCGCTACAGCGCACATCTTTTGAAATTACAGCAGGAAAGGTATTTTAGAAGGTTCTCACACGCCCTCAGTTACAGATATGTAGGCATACTTTAGAAAAGATCGCACTGATTAATGTCCCAATAAATGTTATTCTAAATGTTCTACCTCCAGCTGTATGTCCAGCTCTGCTACAGGACTCGTCAGGGTGCTGAGGTTAGGCAGGACGTGTTCGCAGAAGTACGTCACGAACCGGGTGGAATGGACATTTTTCTGCAAAGCAAGACAACCATGAGAAATTTACCTTTAGATTACAATTAACTTGCACATATTATAATGTTGAGAGGTTTAAAGTCATGCTTCCAACCTTAAAACTTTATCATGACTCAAATTTGGGAACATCAAGGTGAACTTACAGAGAACAACGGCAGAGCTTGTCGAGTGCACTGCAGGAGCCGGTCCACGGCGTCTGGGTCTGCTGGGTTCAGGGCTTGCTCCAGGTCAGCCTGCTCCACCACCAGCTCCACCAGCTGCTGTCGTCCATTTACCGACTGCAGCACCCGCAGACCAGACACCACGCGCATCAGAAGCACAAACTCCTCTCCTGTGACGTCCTCCAAAACCTACAGGGGGCAGCAGGAAAGTTAACCTTTTTATTTTCGTTAAACGTGAAAACAGTTTGTTCTGCTAAAATAACTACACTATAAGACGTTTTGGAAACCAGTTCAAACAAAAAATCATGTCCCATGGTCGAATGCGTCAACATATTTTTAAATAGAAACTTCTAAAGCACATGTCGCATCTTGACGATTTAGACCAGCCTATGCCTGAGGTTCAAAAAATCTGTCAAAAAAGTTGGCATAGCTTGAATAAGTTATAGGTACATTTTGTAAAAGTTATGAGCACACTAAAGTAACACGCTGAAACACGGTGGCACATGTCGACAGCGAGGACATCGAGAAATTACGAGCATGCTCCAGACGTATGCCAGCGTTTGCTAATAGGTGGGCCATCAGTTCCAGGTCAGTTACCTGATGGTTGACATACGATCAGTGTCAGTTCCTCATCGGTCGTGGCGTCAGGCCAGACGCCAGGCCTCTGAGTAACTTATGCATCACTTCTGCGTAACTTATCAAGAACTTCTCTCCAACGCATATCAACGTATCTGACGTGTTCCAGAACGTGTTTCTAACTTCCAGCTACTGTATAATGGCGTATTGGCAGCGTTTTGGTATAAAGGGGGTTCACAGGATGTGCAGGTGGCGCAGAGGTTAGTGCCCACAGCCCATGAACGGAGCCCTTAGTCCTCAACTCGTGGTCCTTTGCCACATGTCTCTCCCCCTCTGTCATACCCCCTTCCCTGTCAGTCTCCTGTCAAAAAAAAAACAAAAAAAACAGCCACTAGTGCTGTAAAAACCGTCAGTTCTCCTCCAGACTTAATCCCCATCAAAGGGTGAGCCAGAAGGAAGGGTGTGATGGATCCTCCCTGCGTTCACGCCCACCACCAACAAACTTCCTAGCAGACATGATGCTCAATCTGCTGCCACTAAAAAAAAAAAACACCCTTCTTTTTTTTCTTTTTCTTTATTCCTTTTTTGGGCAGGCAGTGAACTGCAGCTAGGTTAATAACGCGACCAAATAAATTTTTTTATGCAGACCATGCGCATCGCTGCTCCTGAGGGGAGCAGCTTTAACTGATGCTTCGTAATACCCATGAAATGGTGCAAAAGTATCATTTCATGGGCATTACGCTGCTGTGCGTTATGCACAAGTTAGGCTGTCATTGGACAGAAGTTCTGGACTCATTATGAATCTATGTAAATGCCCATAATTGAAAAAAATACATACAAAGTTCAGCGTATGCCAGCGTTTTTGGAGATTCTGGGACATCAGGCATACACCGGCTAAATTGGCATGGTGTGACAGAGCGCTAAGCTAATACTCAAACAGCTTGGAACTACATCAACTATGATAGTAAACTGCAAAAACTATCTGAAAATAAGTAGAAATCTCTTAAAATAATCGTATTCACCCTAAATGTCTGAAGGTAATAAGATGACCTGCCAAATGAATTATTTTTTCTTAACTTAGAATAAGATAATTAGATATAACGGCCTTGAAATAAGACAATGCAGTTGTTTTTTTCTCATTTCAAATGTAACTTGTCTTATTCCATTTGCAAAGAGTCTAAATTACCTGCTTAGTTCAGAAAAAATGCACTTTTTTTAAAGAAAAAATTACTTAATTAGATTCACGTTTTTGCAGTATAATCTTCAGAGACTACAACCCATCATAGCATGCTAATCATCTTAGCATGAACAAAAAGGCAGAGCAGCTGCAAACTAAAACACAAACCTTCTTTGTCTCAGCAAAGACGTAATCCTCCACCTCCTTTGTCATGACGTCCTCTGGTAAAGTCTTCAGTTTGGTGGACAGAAACTTGATGGCTCTCTCTCGCACTATGTCCTCACCCTGCAGGATCTGCGAGAAGAGACCTCCCAGTGTACCTGGATGACCATAGAAAAAAACTAAATGCTTTTCTGTCTCATTCTATGATGTACATCATACCCAGTTATCCACTCAGTGCCTCCAGGAACGCTTACCCTTAGCGTCCATCTTGAAAATTGAAATCAGTGCTGTGTTCACTTGGTTGAACTCTGCAGTATCGTCTAAAAACCCCAACAGATACAACGATTATTACAACCAGTTATACAGGAGCGACTCTGTGATGAGCTTAAAATATCATTGGGATCCACATTAGCATGACACCTGTTTGTAGGAGCTGGGTCAGAATATCAGCGACTCGAAAAATGTTTTCACCAGTTGCGAACCTGGGTAACTCCTTAATGGCCTGTCGTCGAATCTGGACAAACGCAGACATTGGTAATGCTTAATAGGGCCAAAACAATCAGATTAACCACAAGTATTCCATTATTAACATGATCGTTAACTAATTTAGTAATCGATTTATCGGTAACTGGAGTATAGAGACTCTAAAACACGCCTTTAGCTGACAGAGCGACGCACTTAGAGCAGGAATTATAACAAGATTGCAAAAAGTATTTTGTACTTTAAAAAGTTCATGGTAATATGTTCTATGCAGAACTCCTCAAGTGGAAAAGTTTTAGTTTCACCTGGGTTAATTTTTATAAAATGTCTTAAAGGAACCTTTGGCTATCTAGTTATTAATTGTTTAATAGAAAAAAAAATTGACAGATTTGTGAAATAATTAGTTCCAGCTCTCATATTTTACATGGAATAAAACCCAACGAAACGCTAACGATGTTCCAGAAAGTATTCCCTAAAAAACCCAGCCCCATAAGTTAAACAAATGGCAGTAATTAAGCTGGCAATTACTACCATTAGAAACTTATAAGAATGGGTTTAAAGAAATTAGCCTTTTCTCAAGCCTCATAAAAGCTTTAAAACATCATGGCTTCAGAAACTAAACTTTCCTTTTATTTCACAGCTCTTCTAATGTGATGTCAGATAATTACGTTTTTGCAAACCGCAGGGAGAAAACTGAGATTGAGCTACAGATAATTCAGATAATCAACACGCTAAAATGAAACGAAGATCATTTCTTTTCTACTTACAGACACATCTTCATCTTCACAGAGATCAAGCTGGGCATTTATGGCTGCATCAGCCAACTCTGGGAAGCTGCTGAAGAATTTAGGAATAAATTGTGCCGCCAGTCTCTTTTCTTTGGGACCACCCTTCACACCATCCAGGATTGCTTGGTATGCATCTTTGTGCTGCACAACAAAATAATAAGTTAATGACGCTGATAAAACAGTAACAATGATAATTTGGCCTGAAACGTAATTTCTAATCATTAAGTCTGCAGTTTGTGTTCCAAAAACTTGAGTGATGATGAAAGTGCTTGTTGCAGGTGACCCTCAGATCAGCTTTAACATTTCATGTTGCCATTTTATTAGGATAAAGGATCCATGATAAACTATTATTCAGGTGCTTATTTTTTAGGTCCTTTGACAGAGCCAGAGTTTACATTCATTAGCTAATTTGTTTATAAAAATAAATACATTAGCTAATAAACAGTACATCATCTTGAAAATACTCTGTACTTGAATTAAAATGAAATGATGCTGGTGACTTTTAAAAGAGAACCTGAATGTTTATTCTTTTAAACACTGAGAATTAAACTATTACCATGTGAATCCACTGACACACTAACAACTTTAAACTAACTTATTCAACAAAACCCATTTACCATCACATAAAAAACACATTTCTCCATATTTTATACAAATTTTACTCAATTTGTTTAACCGAAATAGCTATTTTTACAACAAACTCAAATATTACAAGTTTAGTTTAGAAGTAAAAATACTTGTTTTATTTAAAAAAAAAAACATTAAAACAATCCACTCTACTTGATTTGCAAGTTTGAAACGTTTTTATCTTTATTTAATTTATTTTTGTAATGACCATGACCTGTATGGCTGAAAGCTTCACCAGCAGACTTGTTTTATTTCTTCAGATTAATGTGTTTTTCCTGCTTCGTTAAAGAAAACAGGAGCTATTGCTGCGACGCTTTATAAAGTGCAACAGCATGAACATGCTGGAGACTTTTTCAGGTATTAAACATATAATAGGTAATAATGCAGCCTGTGATGCTATCTGCTGGTTAGCATGGTCACTATGATGGCTAGCTGCAGCTAACACATGTCAATAGATCAGCTAAATCCAAGCTAAGCCGCCCGCTGTGGACAACATAACCGAGCTGAGAACACTGTGAGCGGACTGAGCTTCCTCACCTGGCTCAGGTTTTCTTTAGCATCAGCAAGGATCCCGTAGTTCCGATAAAGCTCCTCGATTGTGACCGCCATCAGCGTGTCCCGGTCCCTGGCGCTTTCACAGAAGACCGCTGATGAAACCACGGGGGGGAAAGGAAATATAGCACCTTACAGCGCAACGCTAGCTAGGTTTTAGATAAACTAACCTACGACAACACGAATAATGGCTAATACTACCGTGGGAGCGACAGGCGCGTGAGAATGAAAATTCTAGAATATCGTCAATGGACTCCCTCCCCCGACCGTCTGTTTTCCCGCAATGTTCTCCCCGGCTATAATGCTACGGAAGGTAACATTGTGCGCATGCGCCACCCTTGTGACGACTACGGAAGAGGAGTAGGGCCACTGAAAAAAAAAGTTAATGATTTTTACATTTTATTTCAGTTTAGTATGGAAAAAAGTCAAAATTCTGACTTTTTTCTCAGAATTCTGACTTTAATCTCATAATTCTGACTTTAATCTAAGAATTCTGAGTCGGAATTCAGTCAGAAAAGATTAAAGTCAGAATTCTGAGAAAAAAAGGCAGAATTCTGAGATTTAAGTCTTTTTTCCCATACTAAACTGAAATAAAATTTAAAAATCAGTTAACTTTTTTTTTCCAGTGGCCCTAATCCTCTTCCGTAGATGACAGTGGGGAAAAAAGGAAGAACTTGTTTTCGATGGGCGGAAAACGACGTGTCATCCCGTCCGCCATACTACGAGTGGCAATTTTTTAACCTATGTGGGATGTTTGAAAAAATAGTAATCAAAACCCTTATTGGAAAAAGATGACAGAGTAAATATAAAAAGCTAATTCCAAACGATGTTTTTTTTTTTTCTGTTATACGGCATCTACTTTTAAGGCTAGGCTTAAAACTTTCATTTTTGATGAAGCTTATAGTAAAAGTGGCTCAGGCTGCTATAGGCTTAGACTGCCGGAGAACATTGGGACCTCTTTTTCTTCATTCTGCTTCATTCTATCTCTATTGTCCCACTGCAGAGTCTGTTTTATTTATCGCTAACATTCTGCTCTCTCTGCTTTTTCTCATAGTAGCTTCATCAGGTCTGTTCCTGTTTGGCTGTGACTACATCCTGGAGAGAAATATCAGCTGTGCTGCTGCCATCAACACCTTTTTTTATAGATTGGAGCAAGCTTGGAGCTTAGCCTGTTTTTCAGTGTAGTCCTGTTTCTCTGACTGCAACCAACTGGATGCCCTCTCTTCATCCTCTGACATGGGAGCTGGCTCAGAGCCCGTCTGCCTGGCTGTGTGTTTCCTGGATGGGGCTGCCTGTGGAGCTGGTTGACAGTTGCCTTTTGTATCTATGCTTCTTTTTCTATGTCGGCTTCTGTCTCCTTGAACCCCAGTCAGCCTCGGCAGATGGCCGCTCACATTGAGTCTGGTTCTGCTGGAGGTTTCTTCCTGTTAAAAGGAAGTTTTTTTCTCTCCACTGTCGCTACAAGCATGCTTAGTGTGAGGGATTGCCTTTGAGTGAATGAGTCGATGCAATCAGCTGGTTTTCCTTAAATAGAAAACTTTGAATCAATTTGAGTGGGTGATCTGGTTGAATGGTAAAGTGCCTTGAGATAACAGGTGTTGTGAATTGGTGCTATAGAAATAAACTGAATTGAAAGTGAACTATTATAGAAAGAAATGCCATCCAAACCAAATATTGTGGAAAAGTACTCTGTCCCCTTGTTAGATCTTAAACCTGAATTACCATGTGTTTGGGAGGAAAGTTTCATTTGAAAAGCCACACCCAGGCAGAATTTCTGCCAGTCCTCTAGAATCCCAACAAAGAACAAAGACCCAAGACCTTTGGGAAGATTTTTGTTGATTGACAGGATAAAAGTAGACCTTTTTTTGGAATCTTTGTACGGTATCTCGTTACATCTGGCTTAAAACTTAGCATTTTAAAGTATCTTTATGATTATAGTGACAGTAAAACATGGTGTTGGTAGTGTGAAAATCTGGAACCATGAATGTATTTACTAATTGTAAAACCCAACATTAAGTTTAAGCATTCTTTGATTATGCAGCAGGATAATCTGAAGCTAAAAAATGACCCTAGAAATTTCTCAGCAATAGTAGGGAGCTGGACTGTATGGTAAAATACACTATATTGCCAAAAGTATTTGCTCACCTGCCTTGACTCACATATGAGCTTAAGTGACATCCCGTTCCTAATCCATAGGGTTCAATATGACGTCGGTCCACCCTTTGCAGCTAGAACAGCTTCAACTCTTCTGGGAAGGCTGTCCACAAGGTTTAGGAGTGTGTTTATGGGAATTTTTGACCATTCTTCCAGAAGCGCATTTGTGAGGTTGCACACTGATGTTGGACGAGAAGGCCTGGCTCTCAGTCTCCGCTCTAATTCATCCCAAAGGTGTTCCATCGGGTTGAGGTCAGGACTCTGTGCAGGCCAGTCAAGTTCATCCACACCAGACTCTGTCATCCATGTCTTTATGGACCTTGCTTTGTGCACTGGTGCACAGTCATGTTGGAAGAGGAAGGGGCCAGCTCCAAACTGTTCCCACAAAGTTGGGAGCATGGAATTGTCCAAAATGTCTTGGGATGCTGAAGCATTCAGAGTTCCTTTCACTGGAACTAAGGGGCCAAGCCCAGCTCCTGAAAAACAACCCCACACCATAATCCCCCCTCCAACAAACTTTACACTTGGCACAATGCAGTCAGACAAGTACCGTTCTCCTGGCAACCGCCAAACCCAGACCCGTCCATCAGATTGCCAGATGGAGAAGCGCGATTCGTCACTCCAGAGAACGCGTCTCCACTGCTCTAGAGTCCAGTGGCGGCGTGCTTTACACCACCGCATCCGACGCTTTGCATTGCACTTGGTGATGTATGGCTTGGATGCAGCTGCTCGACCATGGAAACCCATTCCGTGAAGCTCTCTGCGCACTGTTCTTGAGCTAATCTGAAGGCCACATGAAGTTTGGAGGTCTGTAGTGATTGACTCTGCAGAAAGTTGGCGACCTCTTCGCACTATGCGCGTCAGCATCCGCTGACCCCGCTCCGTCAGTTTACGTGGCCTACCACTTCGTGGCTGAGTTGCTGTCGTTCCCAAACACTTCCATTTTCTTATAATACAGCTGACAGTTGACTGTGGAATATTTAGGAGCGAGGAAATTTCACGACTGGATTTGTTGCACAGGTGGCATCCTATCACAGTTCCACGCTGGAATTCACTGAGCTCCTGAGAGCGACCCATTCTTTCACAAATGTTTGTAAAAACAGTCTGCATGCCTAGGTGCTTGAATTTATACACCTGTGGCCATGGAAGTGATTGGAACACCTGATTCCAATAATTTGGATGGGTGAGCAAATACTTTTGGCAATATAGTGTATTTAATATCTATGGTTCACAGATTAAATCCTCTCCTGTTCTGAATAAAGCACATTGATGCAGCAATAACCCCTTTAACTAGTATTTTGTAGTTTCTGTGCATCTATGCGTACAACAGACAAAAACCTTTTAAATAGTCAGGTGACTGTATTCATTATGGGTAAATAATTTGAAAAATTGTTTAGTTCTGAATTTAACACCAGCTACACATTTAAAATGTTAACCAATACGATTAAATTTTTTTATGTTGAAAATTACACTTGCTAAATAAAACTAAAATGGTTAAAACTCAAAACATGATGTTAATTAAATCTCTATTAGAGACCCTGGAAACTGAAAAATCCAGCTAGAATGTAGGAGGATTCTAACACATTCAGTGTTTACTTTAGACAGAAGTTGAAAACAATGACTCTGTGCATTTGGCGAGGTCAGTGAGGAATAGTTATTGGTTTGTGAGCTAGGACAGGAATATGTGGTTGTGTAAGAACAATAATTTACAATCAAATGACAAAAAATAAAGATCCTTATTAAAGAATTTAAACTAGGTGAACTGGAATCCATCACAAACTATGTTGCTTGAGGAGCTCTGGACAGACCCGTTTACTCCAATACAAAATGTATGTTTTTTTTTTGTGTTTTTTTTTTTACAGATCAGGTAGATTTACTGTTCTGAGTGAGTTCTGTATATTTCATTTTGTGATTACTTAAAGACTGAATTAGTTGACAGCTATTCCAAGAATGGATTAATCACAATCTGATCAATTGTCTCAGCCCCATTAATAGATTGTTCCTTGTGCAAAGTTTTATTTACAAGGTACAATTGTAAAGGAAACGAGTTCACTGGAAATTTCCTTATACTTATAAATATAATAATAATTTAAGAATCCTAACAGAGAAAGTAGTTTTCTTCTGAATATTTTCCTTTTCCTCCCCAAAGTTTAAAAAGACAAACACATTCAGATAAGATACTTTTATTAAACTACCTTTTTCCAACAACACTGTACAAGCAAACATTGAATACAACTGATAAAAGTCTAGAAGCTTCACAAAAATCTGATTCCTGCTCCAAACTGGAATCCATCACATATCCTGCAAGAAAAAAAACAAAATAGGAGAGAATATTAATGAGAGCTCCATCTACGCAAGCAGTGAAACAGATCAAATCTGGCTTTTACACTAAGTTGTAGACTCCTTTCTTAGAATTAATAAATGGTTTGAAACCTTTGACGGCATAAAATATTGGAAATACACATATTATGATTATTATTATTATATCAATATTATTATCATTATAGACACAGAGACATCTCATTGCAGAAAAATGCAACTAAATATTTATGAAAGAATTCAACCTTAAATTTCCATTTATTCTGTCAGCTGTTATCTATTTATTTTTTGTAACACAACTAACCTCAGCCCTTTTAAAATAAATGATTCTGAAGCTCTGCTCTCGAATCAAAGGTTAGATTAAAAATACTTTGATTTTAGAGCTTTTTTTGCACAGTTTCCAAAGAGCCCCAAACATTTTGCCCCAGTCTGTCTGTAGGGTTTTGTGGTATATCATGTTCATGGTTATATTCAATTGAATTGAATTCAGTTTATTTATTAAGCTCCAATTCACAAAACATCATCTCAAGACAATTCAACCAGATCATCCAGTCAAATTGATACAAAGTTTTCCATCTAAGGAAACCAGTTGATTGCATCGACTCACTGACTCAAAGGCAATCCCTCACACTAAGCATGCTTGTAGCGACAGTGGAGAGGAAAAACTTCCTCTTAACAGGAAGAAACCTCAAGCAGAACCAGGCTCAGTGTGAGCGGCCATCTGCTGAGTCTTAGTATTCTTGCTTAGTAGAAGAATTTGTATGTTTGAGTTGGTGGCCGTGCATTTTTATCTAAAGGAGTGCATCTCTTTCAGGACCCTGCAAACCTAATCTTGTTGCTTTTAAG